CTCTTTGGGCCCCTTGAAACGCATTCGGAGGGCTCGGGCCTTGCGAATTCGTTCGCCATGCGCGAAAAACTGCCTATCTGGCAGTTTGGGTAACCACGCGCAATCCAAAGCATCACGACCTTTGCTTGCACCCCAATGCCGTCGATCAACATGATCATGGATGTGTGCTACCGTTGGCCGTCGAGCTCTCTGCCACACGGTAGGTGCCAGCACATATATTTGTTATATGAAATTGACTGCGTCCTGATGGCTTGCCCAGAAGTGGCATCTGTATCCAAGACAACTGCTTCGGCAGTCCGGATAAGAGACAGCGTGCGCAACCCACCATCGTCCATAAACGCTAGATGCCGATGATTAAAATCATCTGAGCTCGTCGCCGTGCTGGCTGGGAACGACAGCTCAGTGCGCCTGATATCTTCAGGCTCCAGAAGTGGGCACATCGACCTGTCAGGTACCCAAGCCGGCAGCGCCTCGGACGATGCAGCCTCCATGCTAACAGGACCACCAGACTGTATGCCGATCGCCACATTAGAAGGTGTAGCCTTGGCCGTCGTAGTCTGGTGCAGAGGCCTCGCTCCACCACTCGATGCAATGCGGCACCACTCCGTTCATGCAGCATTCGAGTCCTTCTGCTGTCTTTGCGCAGCTAACGTCACATCTTCACGAATCTCATCCTGCAATGTTTGAATGGCATCGAAGTCTACGGGCACTGCATTGATCAAACTTCGGCCCTGCGACACGGTAGCGTCCAGACGTGCATTGAGATTTTGACCAGGTTATGGAATGACAAGAAAGGTCGCGATCTATTCAGAGCAGTGTTCATCATGCCATCAGGCTTGGAGTACAGCATCTGGATCATGAGCCACTGCCATCCTCGCCTACGCTCTGCACATCGTTCACATGATTCGACGGAGATGAGATCTGACTTATCTTGGTTCTAGGTTCCGTGCATGCGCCCCTGGTTGCTTCAAGTCAGTAGCAGTATTCTGCGCCACACACTCAGCCACAGACGCTGCAACCTTCCCATTCACACGAGTCAACAGCGTCCGAACAACAGCTCAATCTGAACTGGGATCTTGCGCAATCTCAACTGTCCGTTCAGCCAAGGCTCGATGCAACGCCCAATCTATTGGTTCCGTCGGGGGGGCAGGCGGTGGGACAGCAGGCAGCTTGCTAGATACAGCGTAGACGTAGTGCTAAATCTCATAACCGTTGTTCACCATGTTGAGTCGTACTGGTCGATGAGCTTGCTTGTGCCAAGACATCACTGCCTTCACGATATCCACGTGTCATTGTGATGTTGCGAGAACAGGAATCAACCGTGCTCATGCCTGTACCGCCACGAAAAGTGGCATGGCCTGGAACAGCTGTGACCACATCCGCGCGCTGTGTTAGCTCAGACTGCTCCAGATCAAAAGGTGTCATGTTCCAGTCGCCGCCCATCGACGCTGGTCCTGATGTACGTGCCATTGTTCTTCTGCATCAGCCAGAATATCGGCGTTGATCCCCGAGGCGCCTATGAAGTCCTTCAAGTACACATTTTGAATGGATCTCGTCGGCCATCCTGGGTAGTCAACCAACACATGCTGAAGCCTACGTTCACAAAGAAGCTCCACGGACAAACACAGCAACACCTCCCGAGGGAAGAGAACCACCAGTTTGGCGATCAGGTATCGCCGAACACTTCCACCGTCGGTTGCTGGCCCACGAACACAAGGCCTCGAGATTTTGACTGGTGTACCCTATCTCTTGACAGCACAATCGTTGTTGTAGATCGTGTCAATCTAGACTTCACCGTATCATGCCCCCCGCTCGCATTGAATGTCTCAGTGAAGAAGGTACGTTGCTGCTCAGGCTTGGCCGGGTCACGAACTCGACAGTCGCGGAGTCGCAATCTTGAATCAAGACGCTTCTGGATCATTAGGGGCATTTCTGATTCTTCCCCAGCTCTCTGACAAGCGCGGCGAAGTCCTCCATGTTTCCAGCTCTGGCTGCCTCCAACAACTGCTTGTGCTTGTCCTCCCAAAGTTCGCCGATGCTGCGCTTGAGTTCATCACTGCGTCCAGGATCGGGAACATCAGTAGCACCATGGCGGCCCCTCTTCGAGCACTCCTCACCAGCACCTGCGTCAGGCATGGTTTCGTCTTTCAGCGCGGGCATCCTGGTGGCTATGTGCTCTCGAAGCTTGCCCCATGCAGTAGACCCCAGTAGCTTTCGAACTTCCTCATCATTGACGTCCTCCTCCTCGACATGCAGCGGATCATCAGCGCTGGCCTCCGTGTTCGGGGCAGCTGCGCCGAGCTGCCTCGCGGCAGTGGCCGCCTCCTTCTCCGGCGAGGCGACCTCAACCTTCTTGGCCTCCAGCGCTGCACGTGGAGTCTCGATCGACTCCTGCAGCTCCTCCAACTGCTGTCGCTTCTCCTCGACGTTAGCTTCCATCTTCTTGACCGCCATCTTCTTGACCGCCGCCGATGCTTTCTGAAGGTCCTGGGCCGCCCTGCGATGCACCACAGCGGGTGTCCGTAGCCCTTTGGTTGTGTCCGTCTGTCATCGATCTTGCTCGGCAGCGATGTGCGGACGCTCGAGAGCTTCGTCGTCCGCAGGCAGAGACCTGAGGCTGGCTTTGCAGCAGGCCAGCTGCGCCGCCAACTTCGACTTCTTGGTGGCGGCGCTGTCCGTCGTCCGTCTCCAGGATCTTGCTGTCCTTCTGGGGCTCGACGGTCGACTTCCATGGAGGCGGCTTGCCTGACGCAGGCGCTCCAGACTCCGTCTTGCCATTGGGGGGCACCGTTGCGCTTCGCAGGAGCTTCTCGATTGTGGCCAGCCGCTTGCTGTGCTCCGCTTGAGCCTCGCTACCGAGCGGCACGGCCGCTCTCAACTCCTACACCTTCAACTCTCTCTGCCTCCCACTTCTTGTGATTCTCCTAGGCTGCGCTGCGAATGCACGTCGGAGCCTCTTGCCACCATGCACATCTGATCCGGCACTCCCAGTTCGCACTCGCCACTCCGCACTTCCCACAGGCCCAGGTTGGCCTCCGAGGCCCTCGAAGGACATGCGGACTCTCTGGGGGGAGCGCGGGGACCATCTGCTGCCTCTGGGGGCAGCTCGAGAAACTGATCGGATCGTGAAATCTACGAAGAGGCCTGCAAGCACGAGCCGCTCTGAAGATACGTGCTTGCAAGCACAGGTCGCCCACCTGTGCCAGTTCGGCTGGAGGAGGAGGGGGAGGAGGAGGGAGGTGGAGGAGGACCAGGAGGAGGGAGTAGGAGGGATGATGGAATGCTGATCATGACGATTCTGATTCTGGTGACGGTGACGATGATGATGATGCTGCTGCTGCTGATGATGACGATGAAGTTGATGATGATAATGGTGATGCTGATGATGATGCTGCTGATGATTATGATTATGCTGATGATGACTATGATGATGATGATGATGATGATGATGATGATGATGATGATGATGATGATGCTGATGATGATGATGATTACGATGTGAATGACGATGATGATGATACTGATGATGCTGCTGATGATAATGATGATGCTGAGGACACTGATGCTGCTGCTTTTTTTACGGATTATGCTGCTGATACTGATGATGCTGCTGATGATCAAAATAAGAGTGCTGATGCTATTCATGATGATGCTGATCATGAGGATTCTGATGCTGCTGATGATGCTGATTATGATTGTGGTGGTGTGGTGGTGCTGCAGCTCACGATGATGATGGTGATGATGATATGCTGCTGCCGATGATGTTGTTGTGTTGATGATGATGACGATGATGAGGATCCTGATCATGATGGTGGTGATGCTAGTGATGATGATGCTGATGATGATGACGGTGATGATGAAGAAGATGGTGATGATGATGCTGATGATGCTGATTATGCTGATGATACAGATGATGTTGACGAGGATGGTGATAGTGATCAAGATGATGATGATGATGATGATGATGATCATGATGCTGATGATGGTGATGATGATGATGATGATGATGATGATGGATGATGATGATGATGGTGATGATGATGATGATGATGATGATGCTTATGATGATGATTATGATGATAATGATGATGATGCTGATGATTTTGATGTTGATGATGATGATGATGATGATGATGATGCTGCTGCTGCTGATGATGATGATGATGATGATGATGATGATGATGATGCTGCTGCTGCTGCTGATGATGATGATGATGATGAGGAGGAGGAGGAGGAGGAGGAGGAGGAGGAGAAATGAAGATGAGGATGATGAGAAATAACGACAGGATAATGTGGGAATAGGAGGAGGAGGAGGCGGAAGATATTGAGGATAACGGGAGGAAGAAGGTGGAGATATGGAGGAGGATGGGAGGAGGAGGGTTTCACGAGATGTTGTATGTGGTCCCGCGGAGGTTCTAAGACCTTCTGGGGTGTCTGTGGGCTCTAAGGGGGCCATGTGGGGCGTTCGCTCGATTGGAGGCAGGCGTTGCTTTTCTTTCCTACCTTGCCGTCCGTCTGTCTATTGGTCCGTACGTCCGTCCATCCAGCCGTCCGTCCCCAGCCCTGGCATGTGGAGACGGGCACATAAGGGGTGTTGCCAAACAGGGCCCCATCTTCGACGAACCCAGGGGTTTTCACCGCGTCCTCGGCGGAGGTCTGACGGAGGGCTGGCGGAAGCCAAACGAGGGTGGATCTACTGGCGGAGGTAAAAGTTATCCCCTCAAGAGAGATGATCACGTCGGCGCACTCTGGGTGTTTGGAGTCGACCGCCTGGTATGGGTGGTAGTTTTCGGTCGGGGGCGCCACCTGTCCACTTGCGCAGGCCTTCACTGTCTCAGCATGTCGTCCCAGACGTTGTCTGAGAGTCTCGGTGGCTGTTGGGCCTTTCTGGGCCCCGGGACGGGGACATGCGCTCCAGGGCAAGAATCAGGTCCAGTGGATGTGGTAGTCCGAGAGAGAGAGAGAGAGAGAGAGAAAGAAAAATCAAGAGAGAGAGAGAGCTCACTGGCCCCCGTCGTGAAAATATCACGGCGGCGGATGTCCGCATGCACGGGCCGCTGACCCCGGGCAGGACAGCCTTGTGGCCCAGTATCGGCGTATACCCCATCCTGACTACGCCAGGAGTCGGCCACGCGCAGAGGGGGGTGGGGGGGAGGGGGGAGGGCTTCTCCACTGGTCCTAGGCCCAGCATGGGCCTGGCCAGGAGGGGTGCCGGTGGGCAGTCGGCGTCCTCCCAGGGTTTTCTCTCCTTTCTCCGCCTGCCGCCGCCGGGAGGGCCCCTCGGGACGGTTGCTCGGGGGTGCACTTTTCCGGCCTCGGGGGTCCCAAAGGGCCATTCATGTTGTGCTCCCCAGATCCTGGGTTGAAGTCGGGCGTGTCCCTCTACAGGAGGAGTGTTCAAAAATAGTAAGGAAATAGTCTGGGGACTATGTTTGGAGTATTTTTTGACTATTTTGGAATATTTTTTGACTATGTTTGATTTTTCCTCCAAAATCTGCCTGTAGGGGTATGGGGTTCTTGTTGTGAAAGTGGTGACCCCGCATCCCTCCCTCACTTACCTCCCTCCACCTCGTATTTCTGGCTCAGGCTGGCCCGAAGTCAGAGGCACTCGTGTTGCTTTCCACTCATGTTCAGACCACTTATGCCCAGAGTCGCTCACGTGCAGGCCCGCTCATATCCAGCCTACTCATACTCAGACTGACTCATTCTCAGACCAGTCATGCGCAGATCCAATTACTTACGTAGACTAATTACACAAGCTCTCACGCACATTCAGACCCACCCATACTCAGACTCACCTGCCCTCATACCGACTCGCCCCATGATCACCGCGATCTAGCAGGCATTGCACGGGGGCCCCACGAAGGGGGTCCGCCAGGGAGTCGACGCGTTTCTTTTTGGAGCCCCACGATCACCGCGAGGTCGTAGGCAGGGCTTCTGGGCCTCCCAAGGGGGAGCAGGGCCAGAGGGCATGAGTACTACCCGCGCCCACCAGGGGGGATGGTGAGGGGCAGGGGGGGGTAGGACGTACACTACCTGCGCCCCCGCGGTCCGCCCTAGCTCGCCACCCCCACCATTCCCATGGCGGAGGAGGAGCTACCCGAGCGCCCATGGGCGAAGCGCAGGACAGCCGAGACATCCCACCCCGACAAAAATATGCACCAGGCCTGGGGTTCGCCCCCACCGAGGGCACCGTGACCCCTAGCCATAGCGGGACGAGGTGGGACAGCCACGACCCCCACTTGAAGTCGGTGCATGGAGGCCTCATGTGCGCCCACGACCACTACCACAACACCAGCAACAAGCCGACCTCCCAACGACCCATCAACCAGCACGCGCGACAAGCAACACTCAACCAGCAATCAACCGACCACCCACACTACAACCACCTCCCGACATCAGCGCCGACCTGCACGTCCGCGTCGGGTACCACATGATCGATGACACCTGATATACCTTACGCGGGGTCGAGTACCACAGGCTTGGCATCACAGTGTCACGTTGTACTACGACGACCAGCATGATTGAGCACAGCAGAGGCAAGCAGTACCACCTTGACCAGCACGGCTGGGACGAGTACCACAGGCTCGTGCACTACAGAGTCAAGCAGTACCACAGGTTCGAGAACTTCAGAGTCCACCAGAAGAAGAAGGGGCAGCCTGCCCCTCGACGTGGGATACACAGCGCAGGGCGCCGAAGGGTGTATCCCCGTCGCCTTCGCATGGCATGCGAGGGGCCGAGGCCAGCCGGCCATAGACGGCAGGAGTTGGAAAGAGCAGCCGCCAGTGCAGGCCAGCTGGAGCCCACGAGCGGCTCGGCGAGCCTCCACAGCGCGCGGCGCCGAAGGGTGGAGGTCGCCAAGGCGGGGGGCAGCCAGCCCCTAGGAGCCGCCTCCACAGCGGCTGGGCTCAGCGCTCCGCGCCGAAGGGAGCCCAGCCGCCGCCGTGCGGCCGCCGGCCCACGAAGAGGCCGACGGCCTGGCCGCGCGCCGTGCCGTGCTGCCTGACGGCCGCGGGCGCGGGCGCGCGCGGCGCCCGCCCATGGGCCCTGTCGGGCCCCCTTAAAAAAAACCGGCCCCTCTCCCCTCCTCTGAGGTAATTGCTGGTCCCTGGTCCCCTCTCTTCTCCTCGGGGTCGGGTTCCCGGGGCCGCCGTCTGAGTGCCCGCGCGGCCCTCGTGGGCCGCTGCGGCGCGCTCCGCGCCCGCGGGGCGCGCGACAAGACGCTGTGTAGCGAGAAACGTCAGAAACGTCAGAGGGCATGGCACGGGCGTGTTCGCTTCCTGATGTTGGGGGCCTCTCCAGAGAAACGCCCGCTTTGCCCCAGGAGACGCGTCCTTCTTCAGCGCCCTGTGGTCTGCGCGAGGCAGCAGGCGTCGCAGTGGAACCTCCGAAGGTGGAGCCGCCGGGGGGGCATGACGCAGACAGATTCGCGCCAGAATTGCCGGGGTTCTCTGAGGGAGCTTGGAGAAGAGTGAATTCGAACATCGTTGATGAGCCTTACGTTTACACTGGTCTTCCTCCTCCTCCTCCTCCTCCTCCTCCTCCTCCTCCTCCTCTGGCTCCTCCCTTCCTCTCTCCCTCCTGCCCGCCTTCCTTCCATTGTTCCGTCCTTCCCTCCCTCCCTCCTCCAAGCCCCACGAACACCGCGATGTAGCAGGCATGGCACTTGCGCCTCCACATGGGGGAGCCGCAAGGGGGTACGACACGGGCCCCTCCCGCGCCCAGATTGCGGAACACTCTTGATCGAAACGCCCGTTGTGGCTGAGCAGACGCGTCGCTTTTCAGAGCCTGATGTTCACTGCGATGTAGCAGGCACGGTGCTCAGGCGTCGCATGAGGGAGCCGCCAGGGATGTGACGCATGAGGGAGCCGCCAGGGATGTGACACGGGTCCGTCCGCACCCAGATTGGGGGCCTCAGGCGAAAGCCCGAGGTGAACTGCGTGTATGGGGAAAACGAGCCTGCTTCCAAAGATGAGCTGCGTGTATTGGGAAGTCGAACCTGCTTCCAAAAAAACCTGCTGCCCAAAAAGATGAACCTCGTGTACTGGGCTGCCCAACAGGCATGGCACTTGGGCCTCCCAGGAGGGGGCCGCCAGACGACGTCGCACGGGCCCGTCCGCGCCCGGATGGCGGCGACCTCTCCGGCGAGACGCCCGCTGTGGCAGGCGTGGCGCTTGGGCCTCCCGAGGGGGGAGCCGCCAGAGGGTATGACACGGGCGTGCTCGCTTCCGGATGTCAGGCGACCGCAAGCACGGATCAAGGGGGCGCGGATTAGCGACGGGTCCCGCTTCCATGGGTCATCGCGGATTTCCGCCGCCGAGCGAGGCGGCACCGGCCGCACTTTGGGGAGGGCACCTCCCCCGATCCACGGATTTGGCGACCGCGCGCCAAATCCATGGATCGCTAATCCATGTTTGCGCGCCCCCGAAACTGGTGGGGACCTCTCTGGCGAAACGCCCGCTTTGGCACAGTAGGCGCGTTTCTCTTCGGAGCCCCATGACCTTCGCGATGTAGCAGGCTTGGCCTTCGGCCCTCCCAGGGGGAGGGCCGACAGGGGGTATGATCCAGGAAACTCCACGGAACAACAGGAGGCTCCAGCAGGGTCAAGGACGGCCCAGGACGGCTCAGAGTGGCTCGGCAGGAGGGGGTGGGAGGTGAGGGAGGGGAGGGAGGGTCTGATGGGGGGTGCTGGGAGGGGGTCGGGGCGGGGGAGGAGGTCCATAACGCTCCATGACCCAAGACGCCGCAGGAAGCCCCAGGAGGCCCCAGGAGGCTCCAGGAAGCTCCAGGAGGCCCCAAGAGGCGCCAGGACTATCAACGGTCGGTTGAAGCTGGGAGGGGGCGGGGGCGGGGGCGAGGGAGAACTTGGGTGTCGGGTAACTGGGTGTCATGCTGCTGCTCCCCCTCCGTCCGCCTTTCCTCCTGCTGCCTGCTTCTCCTGCGCCGTCCGCTCATTGTCGTCGTCGTCGTCGTCGTCGTCGTCGTCGTCGTCGTCATCCTCTTCCTCCTCCTCCTCCTGCTCTTTCGGGAGTCCGTTCGGGCATCGTTCCTTAGCCCCACACGGCGCAGAAAATACGTAGCACCCCGCAGTTGCGGATAAGAGTGAGGGGGCGGTGAGGACGTCGGCAGATTGCCAGACTCTGGAGAAGCCCGCCGCAGGGCCCAAAGTTTCACAATTTATGCAACGAGCCCGCCGCAGGCGCCGATTTTTTCGCTAAACCAATGTGGGTATGTCGCGGGTGGGCCGCGGGTGGGTCGCAAATGGGTCGCGGGTGGGTCGAGGGTGGGTCCCATAATAATCAATCCGACAAGGGAAGCCGTTCAGTAAACGCACACAAGGAATTAATCGAACAGGACAGAGCTGTTTAGTCAACGCTCAGGGCCGTTCTAGTAATCGTCAATTGTCGGGTCCGGGTGGTTTTTCCTCTCTTGAGGGTGGGTCGCGGGGTGGGTCGCTGGTGGGTCGCAGGGTGGGTCGCGGGTGAGTCGCGGATGGGTCGCAGATGGGTCGCGGGGTGGGTCGCGGGTGGGTCGCGGGGTGGGTCGCGGGTGGATCGCGGGCGGGTCGCGGGTGGGTCGCGGGGTGGGTCGCGGGTGGGTCGCGGGGTGGGTCGCGGGGTGGGTCGCAGGGTGGGTCGCGGAGTGGGTCGCGGGGTGAGTCGCGGGCGGGTCGCGGGTGGGACGACGACAACAAACCAGCAACACCAATAACAACACCACCACCACCAACAACAACAACAACCAACACCATCAACAGCAGCAACAACAACACCATCAACACCACCACCAACAACACCACCATCAACAACACCACTATCACCAACAACAATAACAACATCACCAATATCACCAACCATAACACCACCACCACCAACAGCAACAACCAGCACCAACAGCAACAACAGCAACACCACCACCAACAACAACACCACCACCACCAACAACACCACCACCAACACACCACCACCACCACCACCACCACCACCACCACCACCACCACCACCACCACCACCACCACCACCACCACCACCACCACCACCACCACCACCACCACCACCACGAACAACAACACCAACAGCAACAACACCACCACCAGCAACAACGCAACAAGCAGAATTCTCACCACGAATTCCTTATTCAGCCACGCAGGGACACTGAATGACCGCTCGGCCCCCTCACTCTGATAACTCACATCCCCCGCGCGCACGGACGACACGAGCACGTCGCGAAATGCATACCTCCCGCTCGCCGTCCTCCTCGCATTCCGCTCCTCCTGCCTTCGAGGAGGAGGACGAGGAGGAGGAGGAGGAGGAGGAGGAGGAGGAGGAGGAGGAGGAGGAGGAGGAGGAGGAGGAGGAGGAGGAGGAGGAGGAGGAGGAGGAGGAGGAGGAGAAAGAGGACCTTCTGTCCCGGCCTATCCTCGAGGGCGACGCGGCGCCGAGCTCCCCGCAGGCAGGGTGCGTGCGGCCACATCGTCGGCCCCATCGGAAGGGAACCGCCAGGGCAGGGATGCCAGGCTTAGGGCGGCGCGGTCGGGAATCTGGTCTTCTCCACCCCGGCGTTATTGAGGCATCGCAGGTGCATCGGCGATGCGGTGTAATTTTTCGAACGTCGGGTATTCTTGCCCAGTCTAGGGGGCCTCTAGGCGGAGGAGGTGCCCCGCCACCCGCCTTTGCCACCCCATCGTGTTTCTCTCGACCTGGCGGGGACGAGTTCGGGGCATATCCCCGAGTCCCCACCTCACCTCCTGGCCTTCTTGTTGGTCGCGTGCGGTCGCTCGGTCGTTTGGCTGGAGGGCTGCGGCCCCCCCCGCCCGTAGAGCCGGAACGCAGAAGAACGAGGTGCAGGAATAGGAGAGGGAGGTGCAGGAGGAGGAGGAGGAGGAGGAGGAGGAGGAGGAGGAGGAGGAGGAGGAGGAGGAGGAGGAGGAGGAGGAGGAGGAGGAGGAGGAGGATGAGGTGGGGCAGAGGCCGATGTGGGGGAGGACTCGGGTGAGTTGTAGGCGACGGGGCTGCGCCAGAAGGGCGGGCCCTCCCGGGGTGCGAGCTCGAGTTGTGGAAGGCGGCGGCGCCAGAGGCGCGCGCGCGCCCTCGCCCTCACGCGGGGCATGCCTCGCGCGCGCAGACGGCGCGCGAGCGCATTCTCCACTCGTACGGGGCGCCTTCGACGCACAGACGCGATGCACCAGCTGGTCATCCGAGCGTCAATCAGAGAAGAAGCAACGTACCGATGCCGAGACCCTTCCTTCATGTCTGCCGTCCCCATGGCTGGACACGCACGCACGCACAGACACAGACACGGGCACAGACACAGACACAGACACAGACACAGACACAGACACAGACACAGACACATCCGTAGCCACTTTGGCTCAAGGCCATGGAGCACCCGACGACCGCGAGTCGTCCGCGGCGCTTTGGGCGCGAGGGGCTCCGCGCTTTGGGCCAGCTCTCGTGTGCGAGTTCTCTGGGCCTCGGGCCTCAGCCGAGAGGCCTCAGTTTTGGGCCGCGAGGCCATTCGTCATATCCTGCCTTGCCATGGTGGTGCACGGACAGCCAGCTGGAGGCCGCTCTCGGGGCGACGTCGAGGGGGGCGGCAAGGCCAAGAGCAACTGGAGCTACTGGGTCTGCTCCAGCCGCCTCTGCAGGGAATGGAACTGGTGCTCGCTCTGGCAGTGCCGCAGCTGCGGCCGAGTGGCCCCGCCGTGGGTCAAGGCAGCCCAGCCGCCCGCGGCCGCCGCTGGCCTGGAGCAGCCTGCCGCTGACGCCGAGGGCTTTGTCGTCCAGCCCCGTGGGAGGAAAGCGAGGCGCCAGGCCAAGCGCGCTGCTGCCCGCGCAGCCAGCGCGGGGGCCGCCAGCCTGGCAGGCGCCAGCGAGGCCAGCAGCAGGCAGCTGTCGGAAGTCGAGCGGCACCGCCTGGAGGTCAAGCGCATCGAGGACTTCCTGGCGGCCCCTGGCGAGTCCATCGATGATGCGTGCCTGCAGTCGCTGCGTGCGGCCCTTGACCGTGAGCGTCGCAGACTCGCGGCAGCGGAGGCGGCGCAGGCTGATCGCAGGAAGGCCGACACCCCCTGCCCAAGGCGCTCCACGGCGCTGGCAACGCCCTGGGTAAGATGGTCAGGCAGGGGCGGGCCAAGGAGCAGGCGCTGCTCAAGGCGGAGGAGGCCCACGCGGCGGCCATCAACGAGCGTGAGGAGGCAGTCGCTCGGGAGGCCGCGTGCGCAGAGGCCGTCGAGGAGTGCCGAGCTGCCCTCGAGACTCACCGCGAGGAGCAGAAGGCCGCTGAGGCCAGACAGGCCCAGGAGGTTGGGGCAGCCTTCGCTGGCACGGACCTGCTCGGGCTGGTCTTCGGCCTTATTCAGCAGGTTGAGGCCTTGCCGCAAGGGTTCGCCGCAGGCAACGGGGAGGCCGCCTTCGCCGAGGTCGCAAAGCAGATCGCTGCGGTCCGCAGGCAGGCACCCCCTGAGCCCAAGGGCCGCTCATCCTGGGCCGACACTCCCGTCGACGTCTCCGGCGGACCCGAGCGTCGTCGGTCCCGTCCGTGCAGGATGCCGCCGAGCGTGGACAGGCAGCGCGGCGAGGAGCGGCGCACGGCGCATGGCCCGCAGCCCAACCGCTGGCCAGGAGCCTTGCCAACGCTGGAGCGGCCCTCCTCGACGACCAGCCGCTGGCCACGGCCGCTGATGGCCCTGCTGCTGGCAGCCGCAGGTGTCCTTGACGTCGCTGCGGCAGGCCCGTGTGCTGATATCGGCGGAAGGGCTATGCGGCGCCTGAGCGGGCCACGCGCGAGGTCGGCACCAGGCTGTGGGGGAGAGTTGAGGGCCGCCGACGGGCGGGTGGCCGATGCCCCTCACCCCCCCGCGCTCCCCGTCGAGGCCGCTGGCGAGCGGGTGGCCGAGTCCCTCGACGGGTTTAGCGAAGCCGTGGTGCCGAGCGGCCAGGGGACGAGGATGACTGCGCAGGAGGCCTGCATTGGCAAGGCTCGCTTCGGGCCCCCGCCCGCACCAGGGTCGGGCCCTGTCAGTCCGTGCCCACTGCGGGCTGGCCTGGGGGTCATGTGCCGTATTGGCAACGTCGGGCACAGGAGCGTCGAGGTCAGTGAGGCCTTCTTCCACGCCCACCAGTCCTTGCCGCAGCTGGTCCTCCTGCGGGAGACGAGGCTGACCCAGTAGCGTCTGCTTGGGGCCAGGGCGACGGCGCGCCGTCTCGGATGCACCGCCTTCCTCCACGAGACGGTGGCCACGGGGCAATCTGGCCCGAACGCCACGTCGGGCGGCGTCGCGATCCAGGTGAGGGTCGGGCTCCAGGCCGAGGAGTTGGGCTGGCCGGCGGGGGTCCGCGGGCAGGTGCTGGGGCCTTCGGAGGCGACCTGCTGTGCCCAGGGCCAGGAACGCGTCTTCGACTGGTTCTTCGCGTCGTCGGACCTGGCCACCTGCACGGCGTCCTGCACGATCGCGCTCAGTTACTTCGGGCTGCACCCGCATTCCCCTGTGCCGCCGCGCCTCCAGGACGTCAGGTGCGTCGCCCTGGTCGAGGTGCCCTCCCGTCCCGCGCGGCTTCCTGAGATGGAGGTCCTGGGTATGCGGCCCCGCGATGCCGCCCTGGTCCAGGCCTTCACGTTCGGCAAGCGCGGGAAGGTAGCGCAGAAGGGGGTTACTGGGTCAAGGGCGCAGGGTTCGCGTCCGATCGGTCTCTCCGCTGCCTTCGGCGAGTGGATCGAGGCGGCGGAGGGCGCCCTCTCGGGCATCCACGTGACCGCGACAGACGACCTGCCGCGCTTCCTTGGGCGTGCGGCATGGCCCAAGTTCAGGCGCATGCCCTTCAGCGCGCTGGTGCTGCGGGAGGCCAGGTTGAAGTGCAGCGTGCTGACCCACCGCCTGAGGAGCTGCCTTGCCGTCGCCCTCCAGAGGGTTCGGGCTGAGCAGGCCAGCAGGTGGCACCCGAACCACTCTTGGTGGTACGTGCAGGAGGCGGCGGCGATGGCGAAGCTCCTAGACGAGGCGACCCAGGATGCGACTTGCCCTCGGGGCGAGGCCCTCCCTGGAGCCTCCGACGAGAAGTGGGTCGACCTCGCCTTCCACGCGGGGGAATGGGCTGCCCCACGGCGATCGCCAAGTTACAGTCGGGGCTCCTGGTGTCACAGAGGCGCGATGCCGCCGAGGGCGTGGCAGCTTGGCGCAGCTGGGCCCAGACGGCTGTGGAGGAAGGAGGCCGCCTGGCCCGCCGCCTCTCCAAGGCGGCTCCCACGCCTGAGGTCAGCGACGCCGACGCTGGGAGGCCGCTCGTCGGCACGGGCGCCGTGGACCAGCCCGCGCGCACGTTGCAGCGGCTCTGGCTCCAGGAGGGCTTCTCCCGCAGGGGCGGGGCCCACAGGTGGGATGTTGGCTCTTCGACGCTGCCGCCCATCACACTGGGGGACCTGCAGCAGGCGTGCAGGCTCTTCGGCCCGTATGTGGGGTCGGGCTGCGTCTTCCTGCTCCCTCGCCAGCTCCTCCTGCTGCCAGAGGCGCTGCCGCTTCGCTGGTCAGACTTCCTGGCGGCGTTCGAGGGCGAGCCTTCTTCGTTCAGGGACAGGTGGCGCTCGCGGCTGCCATTCCCAAGCCGACGGAGGGACGCGGCCCATCGCGCTGCTCCCGCTGGCCCAGCGGCTGGGGTCTCGCCTGAGGCAGCCGTGCTACGCCCGTTGGGAACCAGACAACCGCTGCCCCCTCTTCTGGGGCCGTGATGGACGTGGCTCGGAGCGCAGCCTGCAGCGCCAGCAGGAGTCGCGGGCAGCGCCTTGGTTGCATGTGCTGCTGAGTGCGGCGCAGGCGAAGCGGCCGCCTCATCGGCCGAGGAGCCCGCGGCGGCTGGTGGCACCGCGGACGGAGCGGGATTGCGTAGGCCTGGCTTGATGCGCACGGCCTCGATGAGGAGAGCCTGCTGAGCAGGGCGGAGGGGGCCGTCGAGGCCGTCTCGAGCGCCAGGGCAATTTTGGACCCCTAGTGGCCGCGGGCCTCTGCGTGCGGGCGTGTGGGTTCCCGCGCCTCGCCTGCCCCGCGCTGCCGCTTGGGGCGTGCTAGCAGGTTTGGGGCTTCGCCCGTCGCTGTTTGCACAGTTGTATACATTCCAGCGCTTCGCGCTGATGCCCTTTGACGGGGGCTCGAGCTGACTGGCCGTGTGGCGCCTTGGTGCCGAGGTGCCCTGGTGGCAGCCCTTTGCGGCTCGTCTGGGCTCTCGGGATCCCCTGTGGCCCGCCCCTGTCTTGGGATGGCCCCTTTGGGCCTCGGCCCCTCAGTGGGGCCTGGGCCCCTTGTGGGCTTCGTTCTGCCTTTATAGGCCCCGCGCTAACAGACGCAGACACAGACGCAGACACAGACGCAGACACAGACACAGGCACGGACGCAGACACAAACACAGACCCGCACACGCACACACAGACGCACACGCACACGCACACGTACACGCACACGCACACTCATACGCACACGCACACTCATACGCACACGCACACGCACGCGCACACTCACAGGGACTTTCACACTTACACGAACACCCATGCGCACAAGCACACGCACACGCACGCGCACACACGCACAATCACTTACACACGCACACGCACACGCACACGCACGCGCACGCGCACACGCATACGCACCCGCACACACACGCACACGCAACGCGCACGCGCACACGCGCACGCACACGCACACTCATACGCACACGCACACGCACGCGCACAAGGACTTACACACTTACACGAACACTCATGCGTACACGCACACGCACACGCACACGCACGCACTCACAAACACTTACACACGCACACGCACCCACATGCACACGCACGCGCATGCGCACGCACGCACGCACGCACACGCACAAGCACACGCACACGCACTCGCGCACGCACACGCACACACACAAGACACAACATAGACGCACACCACACACCACACACAACACACAACACACACAACACACAACACGCAACACACAACACAACACACAACACACCACACATAACACACAACACACAGCACACGATACACAACACACAGTACACAACGCACGCAACACAACACACAAAACACAACACACAACACTCACAACACACAGCACACAATACACAATACACAACACACACAACACACAACACACAAAACACAAAACACACAACACACAACACAACACACAGCATAGACAACACGCACAACACACAACACACGCAACACACAACGCAC